TTTCCCTCCAACTTCTCACACAGCATGAACATTATCCTGTTTATCCTATTCCCACCCCTCGCCACCAATGTAAATACCCGCTCTAATGACAGTAACCTCAGGTTGGCCCTGGGTCTTCATGTGTCCTCTGCACCGCAGCATCTATTCATTTGAAATTCAAACATACTCACATCTATATAATCTTTTCTTCTGGATTTAAATCTCACGTGTGAAGCACCTATAGTTATTTCTATTGAAAACCCCCCAAAAACACTAAGAGCTCATGCCTGTTGGTCCTCAGCAATGTTTCATTACAATTTGGCCTAAGCAAGGAGCATGCCAGACCACGAAATCTCATCACCCACCCTCCAGACTCAGAGTTCTTTGCTGATCCCCGGGACCTCCCTGAACCTGAACTTCTATGCTGATTCCAAGCACTTCGGCCATCTGCTTCAAGAACAGGGCATTTCGTGTTGTGTTGTCTCCCAACCAGAACAGAGAGAAATTTTTAAAGTTCCTTGAGAGCATGAAGCACTTTTCTGAAGCAAACTCTTCTTTTCTCCTTCCATTCTCATTAGAAGGAAGGGAATCAATGCATCGTTGTGTCTACTTTGTGTCAGGCTCTATACAAGCTCCAAATTAAAAAAAAAATTGGCTTAAGTCACAGTCCCTGTTCTCAGGCAACGTACAGTTTACCGGCAGAGACAGACATTTAAACCAGCAATTAGAGTTCAGTGTGGAAAGTGCTGATGGAGGAGAACACTGAATCCTGTAGGAACAGGGATTTTAAAAGTCAGTGCATTTAAATTAGCTGGGGGGAGGTGGAGGAATGTCCGGCAGGATAAACCAAACCCCAGTGGCTTAATGCATATTTATTTCTTGCTTATGCTTCACGTCCACTGTGGTCAACAGGCCCTGGTTTTCATGGTCTGTCAGAGACCCAAACTGATGGAGGCTTCTGCCTGGCACCTGCTCTCAGTCATGACAGCAGTTGGAAGCAGATATGGCCACTCCCACACTGGCTTTTAAAGCTTCTGCCTAGAAAACGTGTATAATTTCCACTGCATTTAATTGGCCAAAGCAAGTCAGAATGTTACACGTAAGTTCAAGAAGGTAATGAAGCTTCCCTAAAAGGAAAACAACCAGAAATCTTTGGTGACCATCACTAATGCTTCCCACAAGGGTTATCAGCTGTGGCTCCTCTAGGCAGGGGCTTCAGCTTACCTTACACAATGAATAGGCATCAGGCAGGCTTAGTTGGCCGGAGCAAAAGCATTCCAGGCAGGGGGCACAGCAAGTCCAAAAGCGTTAAGATAAAAGAGAACATGGTGCTTCTGGATAATTTATATTTACAAATTTATATAGCATCCATCCATTCTAAATGTTTTAAGAACACTGGCTTACTCCTTACAAGGTCCCGGTGAGGGAGGGTTCATTTGTCAGAGAAAGTACAGAGGCACAGGAGGCCAGGGTTTACTGTAGCAGAGCCAGGACCCGAACCCAGGTAGCCTGACTCTAGAGTCTAGGGAATTCAGAAAAGCTAGAACCCAGTGCTCCAGGGCAGGGAAAGAGGCGGGCGCCTGCCAAGAGATGCAGCTGGAAAGGAAGCAGAGGTCAGATTATGAAGAATTTTGTAAACTGGAGGAGATTGTCTTTTTCCCGAGGCCCAAGAAGCCATTAGCCATATTCAAGTAGGGGAGTGACATGAGCAAGCCTGCACATTAGCAAAATCACTGGCTAAATTTCACTTCCTTCCCTCTCCCCTACCATCCACCTGAACTCCTTAAATCCCTTTGTATCCACATGGCTCATTGTGCCACCTAGTCCTGCAGCTGAAGGATAAGGAAAATGCAATTTCTGTACCAAGTCCAGGTGTTTTCATAAGCCCTTAAACTGTCTTTAAAGGCAGATCCATGCCCATACACATCAGAGTCCCTCACTCCACCCATCCCATCAATGAAATAACTCTACAAATTTTTCTTGAATCACATAAGTTATTTCCTTCTGAACTGGAAATGCCTTAATCCAGTTGCTCAACAATGAATACAAATGAATTTCCCTAATACTTTTTGGGGACCTCCTCCACCAAATTCAAGTCAGCGATCACAAGTTTTTTGTTTTAAAAAGTTCTTATTGACGCTACTTGCACAAACCCATCACTAGTCTACTAGTTTCACACTTGTGCGATCTCTGTGCCTCTGGGATGATAGGGCATCCACTTCCCTTCTTTCCTTGCAGGGAACCACCATGAGAGTGTTCTCTTCTTGTCCGTCTTAGAATTAGAGTTAGGGGCAGTTGGGACCTAGGGGAGCCACATCTCCTGTGGAATGGATCTGTTCCTCAGTGACCTTCCCTGCTCTCTTGGTTTTGGATAACCGTTAAATGGATTTTCCCTAACAAACATAATGACTAGAAAAATTTGGAACATGTGATTTTTCTACAGTCTATCTGGAATTCAGGTGCAATATGGACCTATGCTTTTAAAACCTCTCCTTTACAATTGCCATGGTGCTCTCTTCTGTCATCACTTTTTCCCAGGATTCTTTTCTCAGGGGACTGCAAGGCCAATTTCCCATTTCCTTGCCTCTTCCCTGTGGTGAACAGACTCTAAAATGGCCCTCATAATTCCACCTTCTGGTACTCAACGATCTTGTGAAATCCTCTCCCCCTAAGTGTAGGCAGGACCTATGATTTCTTCTAATAAACTGCAGCAGAAGTAATGGGATGTCATTTCCTTGATTATATTACATAGGACCGTAGTGTCCCTCTTGCCAGGAGACTCTTTCTACCTTACTGGGTTTGGGGAAGCAAGGTCATCTTTGTTGGGTCACAGGATATGATTTGAATTTTAGAAGATATTGACAAATTGTCCTCCAAAGTAGCTATACCAATTCACAAGTTCACCAGCAAGAAATCCTTATCAATTTCCCAAGCTTTGCCAACATTCACAAACTTTAAGTTTGTTCATCTGCAAAATGCTCCTCTTACTGGTATAATTGGCAGTTTCTTGGAGTATAAACATTTTTAAAACTTTCTTTGGCTATTAATAGTTCTATTTCCATAAATCATCTGTTCATAGATTTTTGTCCTTTTTAAAAAAAAACTGAGTTGCCTCCACAATGAGGTATCACTTCACACCAGTCATAATGGCCATCATCAAAAAGTCTACAAATAATAAATGTTGGCGAGGATGTGGAGAAGAGGGAACCCTCCTACACTGAAGGTGGGAATGTAAATTGGTGCAGCCTCTATGGAGAACAGTACGAAGGTTCCGCAAAAAACTAAAAATAAAGTTACCATATGATCCAGCAATCCCACTCCTGGGTATATATCCAGAAAAGACAAAAACTCTAATTCAAAAAGATACATGCACCCCAATGTTCATAGCAGCACTATTTACAATAGCTAAGACATGGAAGCAACCTAAATGTCCACTGAAAGGTGAATGGATAAAGAAGACGTGGAATATAGACACAATAGAATATTACTCAGCCATAAAAAAGAATGAAATAATACCATTTGCAGGAACATGGATGGACCTAGAGATTATCATACGAAGTGAAGTAAGTCAGACAAAGACATATATATCACTTATATGTGGAATCTAAAAAATATACAAATGAACATATTTACAAAACAGAAACAGACTCACAGACATAGAAAATAAACTTATGGTTACCAAAGGGGAAAGGCAGTGGCAGGGGATAAATTAGGAGTTTGGGATTAACAGACACTCACTAGTATATATAAAATAAACAGTAAGGACTTACTGTATAGCATAGGGAACTATATTCAATTAAAAAAAAAAAACCTGGGCTTCCCTGGTGGCACAATGGTTGAGAGTCCGCCTGCCGATGCAGGGGACACGGGTTCGTGCCCCGGTCCGGGAAGATCCCACATGCCGCGGAGCGGCTAGGCCCGTGAGCCATGGCCGCTGAGCCTGCGCGTCCGGAGCCTGTGCTCCACAATGGGAGAGGCCACAACAGTGAGAGGCCCGTGTACCGCAAAAAAAAAACCCCAAAAAATCCCAAGTTGCCTTAATGAGAGTTCTTTACATGGTCTCTATACTGGTCCTTTATCTCACTTGTCATTTCGTCACAAAAAATTTTTATGTGGAATAATGTTGAATTTGTAAATCTTTCCCTTTATAGCTTTTTAAAATGTCTTAGAGAAATGTTTCCTACCCTATGATTCCAAACATTCATACGTTTTCATTAATACTTTATGTTTAACACTGGGCCTTAAACTCCAGATGACTTAATTTTAGTGAATGGTATGAAGTATGGGTCTATTATTATTATTTTTAATAAATTTATTTATTTCTATTTATTTATTATTTTTGGCTGTGTTGGGTCTTCGTTGCTGCGCGCGACCTTTCTCTAGTTGTGGTGAGTGGGGGCTACTCTTTGTTGTGGTGCGCAGGCTTCTCATTGCGGTGGCTTCTCTTGTTGTGGAGCACAGGCGCTAGAATGCATGGGCTTCAATAGATGCAGCGTGTGGCTCACGGGCTCTAGAGCACAGGCTCAGTAGTTGTGGCACACGGGCTTAGCTGCTCCGCGGAACGTGGGATCTTCCCGGACCAGGGCTTGGATGCATGTCCCCTGCATTGGCAGGCGGATTCTTAACCACTGCGCCACCAGGGAAGCCCAGGGTCTATTATTTTAATTGCTAAGTAACTGTCCCACTCCTATATGTTGGTTAGTCTACCAGTTTAAAATATCATCTTTATCACATGTATAAGGGTCTGTTTCTGAACGCTAGTTCTGTTGAGTTCATAGTACCACACAGTTTTACTTATCTTCACCAGGTCTTCACAGGGGCTCTAGTCTCATTTAATACACTTGTCATCTACAGCCGTGCAATCTCACCTTTATTTCTAGTACTCTGAAGGGCTGGGCAAGAACCTCTAGCCCTTGAACTCAGGTGTGGGGTGGGGGAATGTCAACGTTGCAGTGATTGAAATAACATGTCCTTACTCTCCTTTGGCCTTTACTCCCAAGAGACATCCAGCTGGACACCAGTAACTGCAGTGCTATTTATTGAAAAGAGCAGAGAAAGTACAGGCCCCCCTAGGGACAGGATGGAACAAAACAAGCAGTGCAAGTATGCCTCCTGCTCAGCATATTCTCTTGTTGCCCCACTGGGCCATCTTGTTGTTGATGGGCATCTTAAGGAAGCGGTCAGACTGCATGTAGGCAGCTATTTTCTCCAAGGCCTGAAGGGAAAGCACACCAAACCTTATAAAGACTCTAGCCCAGCCCAAAGCCCCATTCCAAAACAGCAACACTCACATGCTGCCTGACTCCACCCCCAAGGCCCTCACCCCTGCCATTTCTTGTAGACAGTGCCTTCAAGGTATAGAAGCCAGGGCCTTCCCAAGACTTAAAGGCTTAGAGGTGTCCAACCTTGATCCCTTTAGGCAAAAGCTGGTGTTGGGCAAGAATCTACCACAATGGGGTCCCTTGGGGCCCGGGGAGAGTCTGTTTTTGTAAGAGAAAGGTGCAGGGAGCATCACCTCAAAACGGCGCATGAAAGCCTTCAGATTTGGAAATTCATCCAGGCACGTGGGCTCAAAGATATGGTTCTGATCTAACACATCATAGGTGAGGAAATCCACAAAGGTGAGCTAGAGGAACGATAAGATCATCAGGTCTGGGGAGTTCATTAACACCTGCAGAGATAGAAAGGGATCCCCTCCTTTTCCTTTCTTCCTACCTTTTCCCCTGCAAACCATGAGTATTTCCCCAGGAACAAGGAGAACTGTTTCAGTTGTCCAGGTAGCTGTTCCAAGTACTGAGGCTTCAGTTTTTCCTGGGAGAGAAGTAAAAGGGAAAGTGAGAATAGCTGTCATCATCTGCATGCGAATGGAGCAGAAATAACACTTGGGTTCCTCAATGCTCCTTTTTCTTGATGCCTTCCTGCTGAGGAAACTCACGTGGTCAGCGTTGTAGCAGAGTTGTATCAGTTGCATGCGAAAATCCATTATTTGGTTCTCCATCATGTCCACTCGAATCTTTTCTTCTTCAGTCTCACCACCTGTAGGCCAAACTGTCATTTGGCCTTATCCACCCCCAGGTGAGCAGCCCTCACCTCACCAGCCCTACCCCACTCACACATATTGTGCTTGCGGGCGATATAGCGCAAGATGGCGTTGCTCTGGGTGATCTTGTTCTTACCGTCCATGAGATAGGGCAGCTGGAAGGAAAAGGAAAGGCCAAATGAACAACCTGACTCTCTCTTGCCTACCTGCCTCTCTCTCCTGGGAAAGATAAGACTTGCAGGGAAGTGAACAGTAGAGAGAAGATGCTGTGTCAGGAGAAAGAAGAGAGTAAGTAAAAGTTAGTAACTGAGTCCACACCTGATTCTAGACAGGGGTGCTTAATCTGTGTGTGTGTGTGTGTGTGTGTGTATGCGTATGTGCACGCCATGGACGCTTTTTTTTTTTTCTTAATTATTTATTTTTGGCGGCATTGGGTCTTCGTTGCTGCACGCAGGCTTTCCTTAGTTGTGTCTAGCGGGGACTACTGTTCGTTGCAGTGTGTGGGCTTCTCATTGTGGTGGCTTCTCTGTTGTGGAGCACAGGCTCTAGGCGTGTGGGCTTCGATAGTTGTGGCACATGGGCTCTAGAGCACAGGTTCAGTAGTTGTGGCCCACGGGCTTAGTTGCTCCGTGGCATGTGGGATCTTCCCAGACCAGGGCTCGAACCCATGTCCCCTGAATTGACAGGCGGATTCTTAACCACTGCGCCACCTGGGAAGCCCTGGACCCTTTCTTAGAATAAGGTTTTTAAATGCATAAAGCAAATTACATATATTTACACGATTTATATAATATTAAAAGAACAAAATTGTAAGAGTAATATGTGCCTATGAATGCATTAAATAACAAGAGGTAATAACTATCATACTTTCAAAATATGATAAGTGTAAATAATATTTATTTATAATATCTGCAACACATTAATATAATACAAAAATATCCATTTTCTACTAGTGACAAAGTCACAGGCATGGCTAATAATCAAGGTCACTGACTGCCTATACTCACAACAGAAGGAATTGTTAACTTTTAGTTAGTGGAAATGAAAATGTAATTTTTTCTCCATCTAAGTTCAAGGACCCCTGAATTCTACCTATTCTATCCAGGTTAAAAGCCCATATTCTAGATGCCCCTAGAATAGAGAGGAAAGGAGCAAGGATATACTTGAAGACCTTCCCTTCTGTCCCCTATTCTCCTAAAGCCACTTACGTTAGGAAAGTCCAGGTCTAGTTTGAATTTCATATCCAGCCACTGGCTTTTATCATAGTCAGGAGCTGTAAGAGAGAGAATGAAGTGGGATCCAACCTCCTTAATATCCGACCTGAGGAGAGTGGAAAGATCTAAAGACACACCCTAATTCCAATACCTCACATACCTAGACCCCCAAAGCTTAACTATTACTCATAAAGTGTTAAGACAGGGTTGGGCTATGGCAGAGAGAGAATCCCCAGATCACTCCCCACACTGGACACGGCAGAGAGCTCCCAGGTGACTGGGGCAGAAGTCCCACCCGACCTCGTCGTGATGCCACCCTCAGGGCAGAAGAAGACAGGGACATTTGGAGGGCCTGCTCGGCTTAGCGCGGCGTCGCACTGCCACCCAGAGGGGCATTACCTTCCCCGCACGTGTATCTTTTCTCTTCATAGGCTGTCTCCGTGAACTCCAGGAGCATGCGGATGGCATGCGCCAGCTGGGGAGTAAAAAAGCTCCCCGTCAGTATCTGCACAGCTCCCAACGGCACCCCCAATCCACGCCCGCCAATGCCCCGCCCCCTTCCGGCCCACGGTTGCCCAGACGCTGCATCCCGCCGAGCGGGTAGTTAAACGGCTCCTGAGACCTACCACGTTGGGCTTGCTGCCCTCAGCCCCTCTCCCCCAGGCCAGCGTGTCCAGAGGCGGGGCAGGGGTCGGCCTCAGCGGCCCGGGAGCTCGGCTGGGGCCGGCCGCGCTGCGTTAAGCGTCGCGGCGTAGGAAGTTTGGCCCCCGAGTAGAACCCCTTCTCTCGGAGACCACTGACCGTGAGCCCCCGGCCACCTCCGCGTCCGTCTACCAGACCGAGCGGCTTGGCAATTGAGACGGCACTCACCCCGCGAATATCCCAGTAACCCAAAATCATGGTTGACTTCGACGACATTTCGTTATTGCGTGCCTGCCTTCGCGGACTGGGGATAGTTGGCTAACGGGAGGGGCTTTATACCCGACGTAAGTAGGTGGCACCAACGTGCGCGCCTGACTCCGCCCCCATCGTCGTCTTCCCCTCCCCCCCGAGTGTCCGCGTGGCCACGCGCAGGCGCGACTGCTGCAGTCCCTGGGGTTGGGGGCGAACCGTCCCCGGGCTAGGCAGGGGAGGAGAGTGACCCGGACCTGGGTTTGGGTCTCTGCATTCTCCACGCGTGAAGCGGAATTGTGTTTGTTTACTAGTGCCAATTAGGGTGGGAGGAGCCCTAACAGCCTAGGCGGTGAGGGCCCTGGTTACCCCCGGAGAGTGCGATTCATGCCATAAATATTTATCTAGCGGGTGTGGGGGGTTTGGGGGGAGGTGGGCAAGAACCAGGAGGCGACTGAGACTGACCACCAGGGAATCTCTGTCTTTGGCGTGTGCATTGAGGATGGATGGAGAGGAGTTCGGAGCTGCTCGTTAGGTGTCTGGCCTGGCCTCTACAGCACAGCTACTTAGAACACAGAGCCCCTGTGTTCTAAGACCCCCTAGCCGGGGTTTGGGAACTCACATTTCCCCCTTAGTTTGGCTGAAGCAAAGATGAGACTTTTTTTTTTTTTTTTTTGCGGTACGCGGGCCTCTCACAATTGTGGTCTCTCCCGTTGAGGAGGGCAGGCTCCCGGATGCGCAGGCTCAGCGGCCATGGCTCACGGGCCCAGCCGCTCTGCGGCATGTGGGATCTTCCCGGACCGGGGCACAAACCCGTGTCCCCTGCATCGGCAGGCGAACTCTCAACCACTGTGCCACCAGGGAAGCCCAGATGAGACTTTTTAAAAGGACAGTTCACTAAAAGAAGAAAGGAAAAAATACAAACACATTGGGACAGATGCATTTATAATGCCTGATTTCTCCTCCTAAGATAACAGGCCAGTTACAAATTAACTTGGGTATAAGACTAACACTTAAGGAACACCTATGATATGCTAGTCAATAGTCTAGGTATTTCACGTATGTTACTAATTTATTGCAATTTAAGCTTCACAACAACTTTGTGAAGTAGGTTTTATGCCCATTAAGATTATTGAGGCCTGGAGAGGTTGGGTGAGTTGCCTTCCTAGGTTCAAGTGTCCATGGGTGGCCTGGGATTCAAACCTAGGTCTGTCAGCCCAATTTGTGTTAGTTCCTTTGCACTTGGATATCCAGACAGTCTCACCTCATCTCAGTCCTTGCTGGGAAATCTGGGGAGCATACTTTTTTTTATCTGGTTCTGGAGGGTTTCCCTGTTTCTAGGACTCCTTCAGCTCCATGAAGCCCCAGAAGGCAATGTGTCAATATCTCCTCTCCCCGTTCCCCCAAATTAACTTTTCTGGTTAACTTTTGCCCTTGAAAGTCAAACCTTAAGGGTCTCACTTTTGTTCTATTTTGTGAGGGAAGATGTTTGCTTTCTTATTCAGTGTCATCAGCTAAGAGAGATGATTTTCGGAGGCCAGGAACTTGAGGGGATGACATAGGCAGTCGAAAAATACAATATTCTGGCAGTGTTAGGGTCATGGACAAATTCAATTAAGAGAGACTAAGGGAAAATCTTAAGGACCCTTAATCCATAAGTACATCAAGCCTTATCTGTAGACTAAATCAATGAAAGTACAACCGGTTTTGTAGGGAGGGCAGTCTGTGACAGTTCTGAGATTAAAGAAGGCTATGTATACTAAATATCAGAAGCCACAGACAGTACAGGCTCTTCACTTAACGTTTGAGAGAAAAGGAAGCCAGAGAGTGAAATGACTTGCCAGAGTTCACACAGGCAGTCCAGTGTTCCAGTCCAGCGTTCCCTACGCTCTGCCACTAAAGAGACAAGCTGGGGAGGGGGCTCAAATTTAGCTCACCCAACAGGAGGGGACAAAAGTATTAGAAGAGAAAGTTGCCAAGTAGAGCGTGGACCACCTGACACGCTTTTTCAGTGCGTCTCTGGATCATCAGCCAGTATGGCTGATCAAAACCTACCACTGTCAGCCCCGGTACTCCTTGCTCCTGTGAAGTGTTGTGTCCTCAGCTGTGCTGGGTGCCTTGGAATATACTGGAAGAAGTGTACACAGAAGGATAAAGATGTCAAGGATAGCCTTATTTTGGAGTTTGTTTATAAAGTAAGGAGAGCTTGGACCATAATTCTCAAATTCTGGCTCAGCTCCAGTGAATTCCCGCTCACATTCAAACAGTCTGGCCCAGTGATGGATGTAGGGCTGCTGCTGTTTCATGCCCAGTGTCCCAGCTCTTCCTGACTCTCTGCCTTTGGCCCCCATCAGGGCCAGAGGAAGCTGCAAGAGAGGCGCATGACAAGCTTGAAGATACTTTTATTGGGGAGGAGGGGGGCTAAACAGAGTCCTGACAAACCTAGGCTTAAGTGCTCCAGGCTCAGGAAAGAGATGCAATAAATAGGTGGCAACTGGGGAGAGCTCTCAACACAGCGAGAAGGGGCACCATTCGTCTCAACCTCTGGGCTTGCTCATCTTCTTTGCTGTGTGAGCTGGGGTGTGGGGTTCGCTGCAACCTGGGGGCCTGAAAGAAGAATTCTCGGGGCTCTAAAGAGTTATCATATCCGCCATCTTGCTTGTGAGAAAGTCTTGGTCTTGGAGGTGTTTGAGTTGCTGCCTAAGGGTTCATCTGAGGAAAGAAAAGGTTGAGGTGAGGCTGGTGGCAGGTGAGGGACCCCAGAGCTGATGCCAACAATCAGCTAGGAGCTTCAAGGCATGCCTGAGCACATGAAATCAAGCCCCTGGGGGAACTGTCCTGTGGCCAGACCTGACACATTGAGTGCCACCCCAGGGTTGGGGCTGCTGGCTTGTCCACCTGACACTCTCACTCAGGGATCATCCCACATTTCCAGCGGTGGTCAGGATCCCAGGGTGGCCTCACCCCCAGCATCCTTCTGACAGCCTCCAGCCGTGCCAGGACCTTTGGGGCCTCCTGGGGACACAGCATCTGTAGCTCCCCAGGTCTCATGTGAAGCAGCTGGCGCCCCGTCATGGACCCGAGAGTCTTCACTGTGCTGGGAACAGAAACAGCAGAAACTGTCAGTGGTGGGGCGGAAGGACTGGGCCTGGGTGTCTGTGTGGAGAAGGGGCTGTTTGGGCTTGGAGACTGGGGTGACAGAAGAATTCACAGAAAGGGTATCTGGAGGCCAGGGAGTAAGATAAACATATTGGCTGAAACTAATTTCATAGCTCCTGAGGTTGAAGGGAGAAGCGCCCTGGAAGAGACTCTTGTGATGGGGAGGGGTGCCTGATTATTATCTGAGCCCTTTACAGAGGTAAAGCCGTGGGACTTGGCACTCACACAGTGGAGAAGTTCTCTGCCTGCAACCAGGCTGTGACCTCCTCAGGCCTTGAGCTAAGTCGAAGCCCTGGAGCCTAGAATCAGGGGAAGTGGGGGTCAGAGGCCATCTCATCTCAGAGCCACCTACAGCCACCATCATCTGGGTCCCTTCTCTGGGCTTCCGTCAGATCACTTGTCTCACTCCATGGTTCACTTGTCTGATAGGCACAAGGCTTGTTCTCTGCTCTGGTCCCACGAATAAACTCAGGATACAGTAAGCGTGTGATAATACTGATTAAGTTGAACCGGGACCATCTCCTCCACTTGTCACTGGATCCTCCCTGCCCCCACCTTTGACTCAGGCTTTATAGCTTCTGAATAGTCTAGGCTGGGTAGTACCGGAGGGAACGACTTGCTCTGGCTTCCAGGGAACCCCGACTGCAGGGGCTCCAGGATGTTGCTGGGGATGTAGCCGCTCCGTCCCATTTCATTCTTCACCAGCCACCACCGTTTACTCTGGTCCAGAACCTGCCAAGAGTCACTCCAGCGGTGACCCAAGCCTCTGTCCGACCAGCCTTGCCCCTCCCCCACCAGGCTTTCTCCCTCCTGGCCCTTCCCCACCTTCCCTCTCCCTCTCTAGGCCACCCACGCCATGCTCCCAGTAGCTCCCACCAACCACCACCTCCTTTTATCAGCTCAAGCCCATGCCTCACCTCCAGTACCTCTCCCTGGACCACAGTCAGTTCCCGCTGGTTCCTAGCTTCAAACTCATATAGGACTTGCATTTTCACGGCTGGCTTGACAGGTCCGGGTCTGGAGGGCCCAGGGTGGGGTCCGTGGTTGTGTGTCTCCTCTTGAGCAAAGTGCGAGTTGCTCCCTAACCTAGGGCTTCCCCCGCTACCCCCGGAGACAGTCAGGATGGCCGGAGAGTGGGGCCTCAGAGACTGGGCCCCTGTCTCAGCCCCAGATACCTCCCCGTTGGAGTCTAAGGGTGACTTTTGGACTTCCACAGATTTTGAGGGCAGGTCCTTCTTAGGTGGGCTTGGGGTGTGGGTTTCTATAAGCAGAAGGGGTCTGAAATGTTGATTTCTCAGGACTCTTCCAGCAGTGGAATTTTCTGCATCTCCTTTGAGCACTTAATACTCAAGCTCTGGGAAATCAGAGGTATGTGTGGAGAGTATTGAAAGAAGAAGGGATCGGAGCCTAGGAAGGTAAAAAACTGCCTCTTCACCCAAGGTAGGGGAGAGATGTACCTGTACGTGTATGTGCCTGGCTAAAAGAGAGCCCGGACGTCAGTGACATGTAGAATCCACAGATCCACAGATCAGCCCTGTCCCTCCCTCCCTAGAACCCTACGGTCCTGACTAAACCCAGGGCGTACCGGAGGGAAGTAGAGTCTTGGTATCTTGAAGGTTCCTGTAGGGGTAGAACAGAGTACGAGCAGGATGTCAGCCAGCGTGGTGGTAGGGAGGTGGGGTGTGAGACCACAGACCCCCTTGCACACAGCTGCCTCATATCCCCTCACCTGTCTGCCCACCACACAGAACCCACCTACCACTTAGGTGTCACGTGGCCATGGTTTGGACTGAGAGAGTGGACTGAGAAAGCCCAGCCAGAGACTAGGGCTTTGAATAGGACTCTGTGCTAAGCTCCCCTTACCTCGTAGGAAGGTTCTGGAAGCTGCCAACCGTCATAGAATGTGGGTTGGTAGGGCAGGGGCTCACTGCCTGTCCATTTGGACCTGGGGAAAGAACAAGGCTGAGTCCACTCTGTGCCAGGCTGTGGGATGTGGAGAGGGCGGAGATGACAGGGCCTAGCCTGGGGAATCTTCTAGGTAGTGGAGGACGTGGCCCACGGGCACTGATCAAAGGCCCCAGGACACCCACATAGGAGCGAACAGCTAAGCATGTGCAAATCCCACAGTGCAGGTATGCATGGGCCAGCCTCACCTCTGCCCGTGAAAGTGCAGACATATCAACACCAGAAGAGATGAGTACTTTATCTCACTGATGGGGGGTTTGACTAAAAGTGGTGGAACCGCAGAGCGTTAGGGCTGGAAGACCCCCGCGGGGTCTAACTGGTTAGAGTTCCCAGCAGCAGATCTCTTTCTAGAGGGTTAGTACGTGGAACTCCGCCTTGTGATCCCAGCACAGCACTCTGGCCGGCTCTAGGGTGGGAGCTGGTACTTGCCACTCAGCCTCCCCCTCACCCATTGCCTAGCACGCAGGAGGAGCAGCACACTGTTGGTGGTCTCCAGTCATGCTCTGCTCGCCGGCCCGGGGAATGCCAAGTCCCCTCTTCGAGGAAGTCCCCTCCCTACCTCTCGGAGGCAGAGGTGAATGCTTCCTCTTTGCACTGCTGCTGAACTCCAGACACCCTGGATTATTGCTCCTCTCACGCTGAATTGCACATGATTCTCACATGTCTGTGTCTCTTACTTACGTTGAACTCCTTGAGAGCTGTATCCATAATACAGTGCATGGGACACAGGAGGCAGCTAATTTATTCAACGGGGACAAGTAAGTGATTCCCCCTTCTGAATCGTTTTTATCGGCTCCTTTTCTTTGCCCTAAAAACATGCTCAGGTCTTCCCTTGACTCTGTTACTGTGCCCTTTAAGCTGTCATTCTATTCCCTTTGTCCAGTTTTTTGAGGACGTGTCCATATGCCCTGCCTGCATTTTCTTACCTCTGGTTCTTTCGTTATGCCTTGCAACCTGACTTTTACCTTTGCCATTGCTCTGTTGAAACTAGTTCTTCTAAAGTCCTGATAATCTGACTGCCAGATCCAGTGGCCTTGTATGGTCTATATCCTTCTGGATTACCACAGAATTTAGTGTTATTTATAGTTTTGGGTCAATTTGCCTAAAATCAAATAACCTGAATAAAATTTACCTGAAATTTAACTATTTTGAGAGTTTTTACAACTCTTTAGTTATTCTATTTTCTGTGTTTCTGTCTTTCATCTCATTCATTCGTTCATTTTTGGTTACTTTAAGAAATGAGAAAACATCTTAGGCCACATCTGACTTAATTTTATATTTAAAATAATAAACAGAGTCAGAAAATAAAATAGAGGTTACCAGGGGGCTGGGAAAAGAGAGGAGTGGGTACAGAGTTTTGGTTGATTGTGTAATGGGTAGAGTTTCTGTTTGGGATGCTGAAAAATTTCTGGAAATGGATAGTGGAGATGGTTGTACAACATTGTTAATGTACTTAATGGCATTGAATTATACACTTAAAAATAGTTTAACTAACTTTTATCCTATGTATATTCTACCACAATAAAAGAAATTGATTACATTAAGTTATAATTTATGTCTTTAGATGAATTGGACACAAAAATCCTTTAATGGGGCTGAATTGGAAAAAAAAACCCTGCTCATTAGGCAAAAAGAATCCTAGAACCACTGGTTTTTTTCCCAGTTGATTTCTCTTTCTAAAACCCTCTTCTTGGACTTCCCTGTTGGCACAGTGGTTAAGAATCCGCCTGCCAATGCAGGGGACATGGGTTCGATCCCTGGTCCGGAAAGATTCCACATGCCACGGAGCAACTAAGCCTGTGCGCCACAACTACTGAGCCTGCGCTCTAGAGCCCGCGAGCCACAACTACTGAGCCCGCGTGCCACAACTACTGAAGCCCGCACGCCTAGAGCCCGTGCTCCGCAACAAGAGAAGCCACCGCAATGAGAAGCCTGTGCACCGCAACGAAGAGTATCCCCTGCTCGCCGCAACTAGAGAAAGCCTGCATGAAGCAACGAAGACCCAACACAGTCAAAAAGAAATAAATAAATTTATATAAAAAACCCCAACCCTCGTCTCTCTTGGTTTTCATGTTCTGCTTTTTTGTTTCTCCTTTTAACTCTCTGGAATTTCTCTTTGCCTCCTTAACCATGTTTCCTTTCACCACCTTGAAGTTTCCCCAGGCCCTTCTCTCATGGGGAGAGCAGACCATGCTTGTTAAAGTGAGCTCTGGGGCTCCCACCACAGTGCTTACCTCCAGGTGGCCCCAAATATCACTTCTGTACTGACTGTTCTCAAACTCCTGTAGCCAGGTCGGACCTCTCCCCCAAAGCCCAGGCCACCCTGTCTCTGCGCAGGTTCCATTGACACCTCAGCTCAGCATATCCAAGCTGGTTTCATCCTCCCCTCCCCACAGCTGTCATCAATTTGGCCTTGCCGCCCAACTGCCCATCTCACGGTTCCACCCGCGTGGAATATCTCTTTCTCTCTTAGCTCCTTGGCTGCTGGGTTGCAACTCTTATTGATGTTACATTTGCAGCATCTCTTACATCAGTAATTGTTAAAATCTGGGCAGGAATTGAGACAGAGTTTTCACTTTGTCCTTGACAAAAATGAGAAAAATTTTACTAGAAGTTTGCCAACTCTCCTTCCTTGGGAAGAATTGTTCTTTTTTCTGAAATAATGCTTTCCTTCAGTGGTGGGTGATGGTAAGTGGTGGTTTTGTTTTGTTTTCATTGTTTGTACTTAGCCTAATTAAAAGTTGGACACTCCAGGTAGAGTCCTTCAATTTGTTTTGAGATATTTCATAGAATAGAGGTTACCAGGGCCTGGGGAGTGGGAAGAATGGGTACAGAGTTTTGTTTAATTGTTTAATGGGTACAGAATTTCTGTTTGTTTTAAGACACAATGTAGAGCCTGCCACCTCCTGCCCTGTGTGTCCTGCCCTATGCCCCCACGTCCCTTGCCTCTGATTCAGTTAGGCTTTGTCGTCACTTACTGGCTGGTGGTCCAGGCTATGCCCAGCCCCTTCCAGAGGTTACTCTCAGGTGGGCTTAGACAGGACTGCAGCAGATCAACGGCCTTGGTGGTGAGGAGGGGTGAGATCACTTGGACTGCTAGGCCAGGCTCAGGGCACTGCTCCAGGATCTGGGGAGGGACAGAAGGTTTCAGGAAGTCTGGGCTCTTGCAGGGCCAGACAGGAGTGGGGAAGGGCCTGGGGTCCCTGGCTTCCCACTTTTGCAATACCGCGTTGCCCCAGGCCTGCTCCTTCCTGCCCCCACTGGTGTCCTTGGGGTTAAGGACAGTGCATAGTGGGGATGGCGTCTTGGGGTCAAGGAGAAGAATGTGCTGAGGTGAGCAAAGGGCAGATCCACAGACTCCCTCTGCCCCCTACCTCCCACCCAGGCCTCTGTCTCATCTTAACTTCAGCATGTCCCTCTGCACCACCCTGTCCTCCCCCGACTCACGGAGTTCAGAGTTTGGAAGAGGAGGTGTATGAACACAGGGGCGCCTGTATCCTGCAGCATCGTGGCCAGGTTTCCCTGAGGATACAGGGCGAAGCCTGTTACCACCCTTCCTCCCACCCTACTTTCACCAGGACCCCAGGGCCCCATTGTTCTGGGCCTTGATGGGGAGCCTGGCATTTCTCCAAAAGTCCCAAGAGTGGGAAGAAGCTGGAGAAGCTTGGGATGTCCATAAGACAAGAGAGGAGGGGACTGCTGAGGTGGGGTGGGGGGAAGGGCTGGGGAACTTGTGGGGAGCCACATACCAGGAGGTTGAAGCTGTACTTGATCTTCTGGAAGCAGTCGATGTAATGTGCCTCTGTTATCCCTGTAGAAAGAAGTGGGAAGGTGGTGGGTCACAGATCATCCCAAGACTCTCCCCCCACTCCTCTCCCCTGGCCCTCAACACTCACCCCCCTGATGCTTTATCTGTTTCTTCCTCTGTCTCTTCTTCTTATGACTGGTGTTTGACTGGTCCTCCTTCAGCTTTTCCATGAATAGCTCGATGTCTCTTAGGACGTGGCTCAGCACCTCCTGGACCCCAAACAACCCATGGTCTGAGTGGGCATTTAGGCCCACCCTGGAACTCCCAACCCTGACCCCCCGCCCCCTCCTACCACAAGCCTGAGCCTCAGGCCCAGCCCAGGGTCTGACCAAGGCTCCGTGTCCCTCCTCAGCCCAGGCCCTGCCTTGGTCATCCTGGCACCTGGCTCCTTGGGGTGATGGAGACGACTGGTGTCCTCCCTTGGGCCAGGACCAAAAATCCTCAAGGAGCCCAAGACAGTCTGCAGTTACCTGATCCCGTCCTGGGTCCCCGGGGGATGGGGACCTCCTCGAAGGAGGCAAAGTGAAGGCACTTGAGTTTTGGATGATGGAGTGGTGTGGCAGGGGCCTTGGGGATCGTGGTGTGTCTGCAATGGAAGGGAACCATGGCCCAGAACTTCTTTGACCTTTGACGGGAATCCTCTCCTCCCACTGGCCCCCACGCCCAAGCTTACTGTGCTCTGGGGTCATCCAGTGGTGCTGCTCTGGAGGGGGTCTGCACTCCAGAGGAGGTACCTGCTCCTTAGGGATCGGCCTTTCCAGAAGAGGCCCCCTGCATCTGTCCTGACCTGGGAGAAGGGCTCCGAATTGGGGCCTGTGAGCACATGGTGGGGACACAGCTTTGACAGGGTTCTTGGGACAGAGGCACTGCCCACCCTTCTGCCCTAGGACCCAAGGGTACCACTCCCTCTCTCCAGGAGCCCGACCAGCCCTGCTCCCTGGTCTCCATCTGAAGCCTTCCCTGACTCTCCCCTGCCTCATCTGCCTGCTCTCTGGGGCCAGCCCCTCCCACGTCAGCCTCTGAGGCCAGCCTCCAGTGTTCACTGGGCCCCGCCCCAGCCCCTTCCCCATGCCCATCTGTGCCCTATTTCAGCCTGGCCCCTCCCCAGGTCTATGCCTATGTTATTGGGCCACAGGCTCCTGGGCTCCCCCAGATGTGGGGCAGACCTGAGCTCTGAGGTCCTGCAGGTGGGCTGGGGCAGAGGCTGCCTACCTTTGCTCTAGCTCCTCCTCCAGAGCCTTCTGCAGGCTGGTCTTCAGTTGCTCTGCCTGCAGGAAGCAGCAGTCAGACAGGCTGGGGATGGGGGGTCGGGGAGGAGTGGGGAGTGATGGCTGTTGGATTCCACACCTACTCACCCCCACTTCCTGGCACTGGAAAAGCAGAGTGTTAGTGGCTGGCAGGCCTGAATCCTGCACAGTGATGGACAGGACAGAGTTGTAGGAGCAGGTGTTGAGTGCCACGTCCATGTCCTTGATGCCGTCCAGGCGGTAAGATTCCAGTTCCTCCTGGGCCAGGCAGAGAGGTCAGCTGTGAGGTCACTGAGAGCCAGGCTGACTCCTGGGAGCTCCTGACCTGGGTTGCTCCACCCTTCTAGTGGTCTGGGATGGGGCGTCGTCTCCCCTGATCCCTGTGTCTCTGTCCCCCGTTTCTTCCTAGTCCTGGGTATGTATTGTGTATGGGGAGGGGTGGTTGCCATGTGGGACATGCATCGATGGTGTTCACGCCTGGTGCTCGCTTTCCCACGGCCTGGGTCAGCTATGATCCCTTGCGGGGAATGGTGGGAGGCTGACCTTTGTCTCGATGTCCAGCAGCTGGAGCCGGCCATCCCTGACCTGCAGGAGCAAGTCCTGGCTCCACACCTGGCCCTGAGCGTCCATTTCCTGCAGCTTTTGCAGGGCATCCTTGGGCTCCTGGACTCTCTGCGTCCCCAGCTTACATGTCAGCAGGTGCTGAGGGGAGAGGAGAAGATGCAGGACTGGGAGAAGGTTTGGAGAAGGGGATCACAGGTGGGAATGCGCAGGGCTGGGGGGTGGGGGAAAGGCAGCAGAGGGGGAAGACATGTCCCTGGCCTCCTTGCTGGGGAGTGCCAGGCCATCCCTATAAAGCAAACTTCAGGGGCCTGTGTGATGGCCAGAGGCAGTCAGGCTAGGAGGGGGCTCCCAAGTCAGGGTCTGAGGGGCTGTAGGAGGGGGTTTAGGACTCTGGAGGAAGGACAGTCATGGCCTTTAACAGTCCAGGCCAGCTGAGGGGGCTAGATCGTGGTAGATGTGGGCTTCAGCTACCCAACAAATAAGTCTGAACTCCTCTGGGTGGGATATATATAGGATGCTCAAATTCTGTCCCCGGCTTCCTTTGCCCTCTTTGGAATCACCATCCCAGCCTGGTGCATCTCCTCCCTGACCTGGCGTACCTGTCTCCGTGCCTTTTCTCATGCTGTTCCCCCTGCCCAGAAGGCGCGTTCCACCTCTGCTAACCCATCACCTCCCAGTCTCTGAGGAAGAAGTCAAGCCCCCCTTCTCCCTGATTCTTGCCCAGAGAAGTCCATACTGACCTCTCTCTCCACTCAGGCCCTTGCCCCCCGCTAGTCTGATCATTCCAGCAGTGTTTTTATCCTTGAGGAGACCCCTCCCTTCTCCTATCCAAACGTTGCCTTCACAAGTGACAGTCCTGCCCCTCACCCTCCCCTCCAGGCCCTGGTTGGGGGGAGGTTGTCTGCCTCCTGCCCCTTGATCCCACAACGCCGCCCTCTGCATAGCTCCCAGCTCCTCTCCCAGTTCACACGGCTGGCATATTCAGGAGCTCTGACAACATGACCAAGTGCCCTGGCATCCTGGACATGCCTCTTCTTGCTCTTGCCTGCTAAACCTAACCGAAGCTGGTTCCTAACCCCTATCCCTCCATGAAGCCCAGTGCTCCTGGGCCCAGCCCAGATGGCTGGGGGGCCCTGACCTCTGCCGCCCTCTGGAGCCCCCAGACGGTTGCTCCAGCATCCCTCGCTGCTTCTTCTGCTTCTTCTCCGGGAGGGCCCTAGATCTGCTGCTGCCCAGGGGCGGTTTCTACCCCAGACCTTCAACCTGACCTGGTGTCTTCTCTTCTCCGCCACACCCTTCCAGTCTGAGCTTTCTCTGTGGTGTCAGCAACTCTCCAGGCAACTAGATGTGGCAGAGCCAGTGTTGTCTTCCCACGCAGGGCCAGAGCTTCCATTGTAGGCTCTAAGCTGCGCAGGCCTGCCCCGGGGAGCTCAAGCCCAGAAAGCTCCGCTCTCAGACAGTGGTCCTTTCAAGTCCTCAAACAGGGACTGCTAACCTCACACAGTCCTTCCTCCAGCTGTGGCAGATCCTGGGGCAGGGGGTGGACTGGGAGACAGGCGGGGATGGGGTGGTGGCAGGTGCCTCCTGACCTATCCCTCTGCTGCTTGTTCCTGCCCGGGGATAGGACGTCCACCACCTCAACCTCTAGCCTGGCCTTCCCTGCCCATCTTCCTTCCCCACATTCAGCAGATGCTCAGTTAGGCTTGCTGGACCCAAGCCCACCTGCTCTGACTGGGTCAGGCCATTGGCTTCTGTGGCAGAGACTTATCTCAGATGTCTGTTTTTTTGTCAGGGTGGTGGACACACGGGAAAACTTGGGTTGAATCAGGAAACTGTCTGGGGCCCCCGGGTTACTCACCTCCACCCTGAACTGCAGGTGGGTGGGCTCTGAGGTGAGATTCTGCAAGTACTCCTTCCGGTGCACTGCCGTGGCCCAAAGCAAGGGAGTGGGGGCAGAAGAAGGAGGTGAGACATATACAGCAATAGGGGTTGGTCAACTTGGTGAGGGAGGGAATGGAGGGCAGGGGGTTCAGGGAGCTCAGTGGGAGGGAACGGGAGAGGGCACTGCAGGGACAGCTTACAGTAAATGGCTCTGCTGCTGGGCCGGGACATGTTGACACTGCTGAGATGACTCCCTAGAAGCTGAAATGAATGGAAGAGACAGCAATCAGGGCTGGGGAGAGGGATACTGGGGCAGAGCTGGGCAGGACAGCTGTTGCAGCCCATCCCTGACCCGGGTCTGAGGCTTGGACCACAGGTCTTTCTGGATCCTTCTCCAGACATACCCTCTGCTGAGGAGCCCTCCGTCTTGGCTGGGCCTTGAAGGCCCCCAGGCAGGCTCCCAGCTTCCCATTATTTGGCCAGTAAAGCTCATTCCAATGGGCTCAGGAAAGCTGGGTGGACAGGAACTTGGGACCAGATCCCATCCTGGGGCTGAGTGTAAAATATGCCAGATGGGTGTGCCTAGCTTCTGGAGGGAAGGAATTAGGGTCTGCAGCCTTCCCTGCCAAAGCAAGCCTCTTGTCCAAGCCTGTTTCAATTCCTCAAATTAGGAGGAGGCCAATGCTGGCTCTTATGCTGGGGACCCGCTCAGAAGGGGTGTGTGTGTGTGTGTGTATGCACATGCATTTGTATGCACGTTGATGATGCGGCTCTGTAGGATGTGTCAGTGATCTGCACTTTCCTGAATGTCTTACTAAATCTTCTGTCTCTTTGCCTTTCCATTCTCTGAACCCTCTTCTCAGAGTCCCTCCCCACACAACCCTTTAAATTCCAGCTCAAGGGAATAGACATTTTTCCAAAGAAGATATACAGTTGGCCAATAGGCACATGAAAAGATGTTTAACATCACTAATTATTAGAGAAAAGCAAGTCAAAGTCAAAATCACAATGAAGTATCACCTCACTCCTGTCAGAATGGCTATTAACAAAAAGGCAAGAGAGAAAAAAAAGTTGGTAAAGAAGTGAAGAAAAGGGAACCCTTGTGCACTGTTGGTAGGAATGTAAAATAGTGCAGCCACTGTGTAAAATGATATGGAGACTCCTCAAAAAATGAAGAATAGAACTACCATATTATCCAGCAATCCCACTTCTGGGTATTTATCCAAGGAATATGAAATACACACCCCTGTGTTCATCATGGAATTTATAATAGCCAAGATATGGAAACAACCTGAGTGACCATCAACAGATGCAGGATAAAGGAGATGTTGTATATACAATGGAATTAACCATAAAAAAGATAAAATCTTGCCATTTGCATGGACCTTGAGGGTGTTATGCTAAATGAAATACGACAGAGAGAGAAAGATAAATAACGTATGATTCCACTCTTTTGTGGAATATAAGAAACAAACGAAACAAAATATATAAACAGACCAAACCAAACGAAAATGTAGATACAGAGGACACAGTAGTGGTTACCAGAGGAGAAGGGGCAGGAGGGAGGGGGAAATGGGTAAACGGAATCACTGTGTGGTGATGGATAGAAATTAAATTTTTGGTGATGAGCATGCTATAGTGTACACAGAAGTAGAAACATAATGTTGTGCACATGAAACATATAATGTTATAAACCAAGGTTAACTCAATAATTAAAAAAATCTAAATAAATAAATAGATTCCAGGTTAAGGATCACCTCCTCCATGAAGCCCTCCTTGACCACCCCACTCCACCCTTCCCATCATCCTAATGCCACATCAAACCTTGTACGTTCCTCTCTAACAAGAGCAGCCACCCTGGTTAGTGCTGTGAGCCTAATGCTAAGTGCCTTATGAACCTTATATCATTTCGTTTTCACTACCATCGCTTATACTTCCTTGGCCCTATGTGCTGAGCACTGTTCTACAGATGTTACCCCCATCAACTCATTTAATCCTCAGAACAACCTTGCTGGGTGGGTTCTGTTATTATGCCATTTACCAGATGAGGATGCTGAGGTTCAAAGAGGGTAACAGGCCTGAAATCTCAAGGAAGTATTTGATAGAGAATGAACCCAGCCGTGTCTGACTGCAAACTCCATGTTTTAACTGTCTATATATGTGCCTCTGTCACTGGGCTGTGACCTCCTGAGGACGGACTTATCTTGCCACTGCTGTCCACACAGCACCCTCCTGGCATAGAGGGGGTCTAGAATATGTATATGTTGAAACGGAATGGAAGTAAATGAGGTGCGTGTGTACGTGCAGGGTGGGGCGGGAGTTAGCTGAGTGTGTGGGTCAAGGTCATGTGTCACTTTAATGATGTAGGTATGCATCACGAATAGGGTGTCAGTTCCGTGGGTGTCCGTGCATCTGCGTGGTGCCTCTGAGTTGTCCAGAAACCTTGGAATATCCTGGGCAAAGTGTCAGAGAGCAGCCCACGCCCCTGTTACCAGGACTGTTATGAAAGTAGCAGAAGATCTGATAAGATGACTCAGTGCTGGGGAAATGGTTGCTAGTAAACAATTAAGGGATTGTGGCTGGGTCTCTGTTTTCCTTGTTTGGGAGGAACCCTTTCCCCACCAAGGGTAAGGGGGTACTAAAAGTCTGCTCTCCCTCTCCCCAGCTGCACCTCTCAGGCTGCAACACTTCCTGCTTCTAGATCCAGAAGACAAAGAAGAGAAAATGAACGGTGTTTCGGTTAGCTCCCCGCCAGCCGCCTCGCACAAGGATGGTCCCTGTGGGTCTCTGTGAGCAGGTTCAGGGAAACATCTGCTGCTCAAGATCCTGATGACACAGGCAGGGGGTGGGGGGGATCCTCAAGGTGGAGCGTGGGGATGGGGGGATGAAAGGTGGGGGGTGGAGGAGCGGGGGCCTCCTTGCCCCTGGGAAGGGGGGATCTCTGGCAGCCCAGTTTCCCCATTTATCCCCCACATTTAGGGACCTGGAGTGGGGAAGGAGTTCGGGTCTGCATCACGGACCCTGGGAGAAGCAGCCCAGGATGCGGCTGGAGCCCTGCTTCCTGGCTGGCTAGCTTGGCCGAGTCCCAAGCTCTTCTTAGGCTGCTCGTCCTGGCTACATCTGACAATGGGCAGGAGGCCCTGGCCTGGAAGCCTCACTGAGTTGCATCCGGCATCCCCCGCGGCTTGGGTGGGCCCTGATCTCACCGAGGGCCAGTCCCTTACCTGGGTCCCAGTGAGGCCTGGTGGCTGGTCCCCCCGAAGGCGCAGTTGTTTGAGCTGCTGGTCTGATGCTGGTGGTGGGAAGGCAGTGGCTTCTCTGCTAGAGGCGCAGCCACAGGCAGAGGCCCTGTGATCAGGTGAGCCCTGACGGCGCAGACAGGTCTTAACGCTGGTGAGGCCATGAGGCAGCCACACCTGTGCTCTTTGGACTCTGATGGGTGGGAAGGCCTCCTAGGCCACCACCTGCCCAGCACCAAAGCCTGGGCCTGTGGCAATGCCTGCGCCGACATGTGTCCCAAGCTTAGCCAGACTCCTGCTTCCCAGCTTCCTCCTCTGCTTGCCTCTGCCATTAGTGTGTGGCCCCCTCTTGCCTCCCCCTTTGGGTACCTCCTCTCAGGCCCCAGGTCAGCAACAGGCACCAGGGTTGGGACCAGAAGGAGAGGGCACCCATGGTTCGGGAGAGTCTGGCTTCTGTGGTCAGGGCACAGGTGGCTGGAGGTGGGCCCCGGCCTTGGGGGCAGCTGTGGGCTGGCACGTGTGCCTGTGTGCGCTGCGCACGTGGGTTCGTGACCGTGTGTGCCCAGGTGGTACCTGCGAGCAGGATGTGGAGTTTGTGAGAGCAGATGAAGGCTGGGGGCCGGGACCACCATGGGCATTAGGTGGAGGGATAAGACTTCTTCCTAGCAGGGCCCACCTCATTCTGCCCTTTCTTCTTTCCCCTCTGACCCAGCAGGGAGCCCTCTCCCTCATCCGCTCTTTCCTGCCCTACCCTACCCCGTGCCCTCAGACCTCTGGTTGAGCCTGGGTGGCTTCAGCAGAGATAGGAAACTGAGGTCTGCCTCTGTGCCTATTCGTGAACTTACCCAGTCCTCGTGCTTCATGGTGTTTAAAAGCCTTCCTTGGCACCCAGGCTGCCTGCCCTCTGGGGGCTCACAGTCTAACAAGGGAGGTAGGGTGTAAACAGGGAGCGAGGCAGGAGGGGAGAGGAGGGAGGGAAATGCCCGTGTCCATGCGGTGGTGGGTCTCGTGGGCAGAGACCCGGGACCCGTCGGGTTAGGATCTGTGCTGGAGAGCCCTGTGGTCTGGGGGCAGAGCCAGCACGCCCACCCTTCGCTTCCTTGGGTCCATTCCAGGAGATCTCAGCCTCCTTCCCTGCCCCCGCTCCAGCCAACACCGCCCTGGATGGCCTGGAGTCCAGGAAGGGGGTCCTGGCTGGGGGCCTTCCCCACCTAAGAGAGTCCACGGGGCAGCCAGCTTTAGGGGCCCAGGGATCAGGTGGCTGCTGAGCCAGCCCCCAGCCGTGGCCACATGGGACCAGCTCTCCTGACCTCCCTGGCTGTTCTGTTCCCTGGGTCTCAGCCTCTTGGTCCTTCAGCTTCTTTCCAGATAGGACAGCCTGTCCCTTCGTTGCCTCGCCCAGTGCCGGCCCCAGCCCCGGCCCAGGTGCCCAGCCAAGACTATGTCTCTTATCTTACTCAGCTCAGGCCAGGCCCTGCCCTTCCCACAGGCTTCTCCCCATTTTCGCATTCAGGGGCCAGCACAGCTGGCACTCTCATGGAGGATGGGGGAGGGGGCTGGGGGAGGGGCGCAGCCCACTGCAGAAATCCGCGTGAAATCTTCAGGTGGAGAAACCAAGAGCTCCATCTGCATCCTCAGCGTCTTGCATCTGCAGGGGCCTGTAGGAGTGCCCTTGGGAGCAGTGTGGGTATCCTCAGACAGGAGCCCTTTGCAGCTTGGGTGGGGCTGGGCCTGGGGCTTCTTCAGTGCCAGGCATTGTGGAACCACTCCGGTAAAGAGGGGCATTAGGAGAGATGGAGAGGCCAGGCCCCTCATCCCTGGGGACTGGGGGACCAAACTGATGCTTCTGCACAAAGAAAGCTCCAAGTGTCAAAGTAATTCTTTGGCAAAGTAATCCTGGCTGGGGCACCAGGAGCCAGGACGCAGGTGGGAGGGGAAGGGATTAGGGACTCATTTCATTCATTCACTCATTCATTCATTCATTCACTTATAAATGCACTCCACAGCTAT